TGGTGGACTATACACGACTCCTCCCCATTCAACATTCGTAGCAAAGCTTGTCAAGCCAGTAAAGATTCTTTGCGGCCAAAAGCCAATTTGTGCATAGTTGCTTGACAATAAAAGCCACCAATTTCCATTGACTGAATCCTTATTTTCAAAAAATAAATCCCAATGTCAATATTTATGTGCTTTTCAAATTATAATATTGGTACTAGTAAGAACATTGATTCAAATTTTAAATAAGAGAGGGAAATGAAATACGTTAAATATACCCGTTCAATGTACATGGTTTCCTCATATCCATCGACTCCACGGTGTGTAAGACTATCCATATATGACATATCAAGAGGTGTCCCAGTGTCTACGTGCACAAATCCAGGGCATAGAGTATTGAAACAATCTGTTTTACCAAACTAAAAAAGAAATATATAACTTACACATGAATAATTCCACATTAGCGCTAATAGATGTACTACCTTCATGAACTCACAATATAAATCATTAAGGTACATTATATAAGTTACCTGAGAATGTATAAAAAGTCTAGTTTTACTGTCCCCATATAATGTTGGGTCCACCTAAAACACAAAATTATACAATTAAGTGTGAGTTTACTGATAAAGTGTTTTTTTTTTTTTTTGTTAAATAAAGCTTCTAATTTTAATCTCAGAGATACACTATTCAATCCTTATCACATTTCATTCTCATGAAACAATTAAATTACATTTATAAATGCTCATGTTACACTTACTCTCCAACCAACTTGTATGATATCTGAGTCTTTCTGAATTTTTAATCGACATGCACTATGTTGACCATCTTCAACACGAGGATTGTAAAAATTAGTTATCATTCCAGCTCCCGTAAATTTGTTATTTGGATTAGTCAAAGTTCGTGCTATTGCGACCTGAATATAATAAATACATAATTTTGTTAACACAAATAAAGAATCAAGATTAACCTCTATATATACACCAAACAACCTTATATTTTTTCTTCCTGAGTGCAAAATATGGTAACTAAGGTAGAGTGCGGAAACTAGAGACAAGTGAAAAACTAAACTTCCCTCTCTCTCGTTCGCCTCTCTTGTCTATTGCTTCCTTCTCTCCTTTCTCGTTCCTCTTTCCCTCTCTCCCGCCTCTCTATTTAAATCTATATTTATATAATAATGACTATATGACGACAACCACCTCGACAAAAAAAAAAATTCAATTTGAATTCACACCATCAAAAATCTAACATACTTTGGCTGACTATATGTATTTGGTAATATCTTTCGCACCATTTGATTAAGGGTTGATTTGGATATGTGGAATGAAAACATAGAAGAAGGAGGAGATATTTATATAAACTGCATCAATCTAATAAATTCCTTTAAAAAATTATAATGTAAAGTTTTCAAACACAATTTGAAACTGAAAAATAAAAGTATGATTAAATATTCATAATCATGTATTGTACCTGATATCCTTGTGAAGATATGTATCCTCCTTTTGGCTCACTACTATTGTTGCTCTGCATTAGATGTATTGCAATATAAGCGTTTTTGCCACGGTGACTGTAAATTAACCTTTTTATGTTTGTGCATCAACTGTTTATCTTATCTATAAATATAAATGGAGTCTTAAGTAATGAACTATTCAAGCAAAAGTAGTAAATTGTTCATAAATTATCTTACCACATCAAATATGGCATCTTCAGGCGGCGGCATATATTTTTGTCTTAAAAGGTCATCTTTCGTAATTCTCTTTATAGGAACAGTTCCAAAAGGACAACGTTCATCTTTCGACCATATCATCGATGACCAGGTTGTTGTTGAGTCACTTGAATTTTTCTTTATCCTAGATAAAGTAGGTTTCATCTGTTCCACCAAATGTTTAGTTGCATGCTAACAATATTATGTTCTTGTAAAAAAATGAAAGGTAAAATGGAAAGAGATTAAAGATATATGCCTTTGGATGAAAATTATGATCCTTCAACAATGGATGATCAAATGCAGGTTGTTTGTAGAAATCAATACAATCATATACATCCCCATACTTGGTCTGCAAAAAAATATATTCATGAATCAGGTAATTAAATTATAGTTATTAGACATCTCGTTATTGAATATGTAACTTTTAAACACAAAAATTACAAAACTTTAGTTTGATCTTACAAACACAAAAAATCACAAAATGTCAGAAAATCACACGTCTAATGTAACATTAATCCATATGGTTGCTTTGTTCTTTTGGACCATTTTCCCAGTTTGAACCTTTTCTAGCTTCATTATGTTGGTCATGATTTGCGAATGAATGGAACATTTTTCGAGGTGAATGAATGAGGATTGTTTGATATTAAGATTTGACCAAAGTCAACATTTAAGATTAATGAGGTACAAAAAATAATTTTAGTGAGTAAAACTGATAAATTAACTTTTAAATCAAGATGTTTCCACTTTTTCTATACAGAAAAGTGTTACATCTTGTTGGATAATAACAAATTAAATTTTACGAACTAAAGTTACAACTTCTTGCATCAAAAGTAGTAGTTTTATCATAATGTTTTTCAAATTCATTCTTGCTTGTATTATTTTAATTTGTGCTTATGAATTTTTCGTGTCGGATTGGATTGGAACTTTTTGATAGAATTTGTATTTATTTCACTAAAAGATTTTTTTTTGGTCGGGTCATTTTTTAATTGAACTTGTATTCATTAAATAAATAAAAAAATTCAAAATAATATTGCACATTGAATTGAGTTTTCCAGTATATGCGATTTTTGTGATATAAAACATATAATAGTGAGGTGAATTTGGTGAAATAAAACTCAATAGTTCTGTGATCATATATGAAATTCACTTATGATATTTTATCTTGAAAAGTCGAAATAAATGTATATATGTGGGGGTAAAAACTACTATGTGATAGAGGAATTTTTTCTCTGGCAAAATCGATATTATCAAATAAAAATAATAATGCCATAAGAGATTTATGAGTACAATTAACTAAAAAAAAAAATACCTTAACAGTTTTGACTGCTGGTTTGTTCAAGAATTTTAGTTGTTTTTCTAACTCCACATCTTCTGATTTGGACATAATTTTCTCTCCTTGTACTCGGTTATAACTCAAAAGGAAATATAATACCAACAAAATTTGTTGAACAGCTTTTTGATGCATCCTAAATTTATTTCTTTTTATAAGCATGAATATAAAGTGTTTTTGAAAAAGATCAAACTATTGGATCCAATATATCTTTAGATACTGAACCTGATATGCTATGATGATACCTTTGCTACTATGAGGAAGACTTATATAAAGATGTAGAAGAGACTAAGTTGACTATTAGACAAGATATTGAATTTAATATAATTAACAAAATTTCAAACGATTCAAGCTTAACTCCAAAATAACAGTCAAAACATAGATTTCAATTGAATTAACATTGATTTTCAGTCAATAAAAGTTAATGATTGTTGACCATGTGACTGGTTGACATATATTTTTGACACCTAACATGTTGAATTAGTTGACCAAATAATTTTAATTATAAAAAATAGTTTTACAAAATCACAATTATTTTCTAAAATCATTTTAGTACCATTTTATCATTTCATTTTTCAAAAAATAAAAATTGTCAATTTATTAAGTATTCAGTTTTTTTTTTTTATCTAATAAATTTACTAATTGGTTGTAAATTGACTCAAATTGTGAACTACCGTATGTAGTAGTTGAACCTAGTTGCCGCCACCTCGTAGTTAACCTAATCCCTCACCGTTCATGGTCGCTCCGGCCACTGGTCAGCCTACTCTTGGGGCTGGCCAGTCGAATCTGTTACAAGACAGTAGCTTTCCACCATTGATTCAGTATAACTTAGGTGACAAACAAAATTTTCCTATCGAGCCTGCTCCACTGCCTAATGTTAGTCGTTCCATAATTGCTAATTATGCAAACGCTCTCACAAATCATAACACAACTCAGGGTCGAAAGGCTGGAATTGAACCTATTCCAATGAAGCAATTATCATATAATAATGGAATCCCAAGATTAGTGTGGACAGAAGAGGAAGTGGATAGAATGAATATATTGGAAGATCTTCAATACGCTGTGATTGAAAAATTTTCCTATGGCTGGCCAGAGTTGGAAGAACTCCGCACCATCTTACACATCAGTGTAATATCAAGGGGGAGTGTAAAATTGGTCTTTTGAGAAATCGACATATACTCATTAGATTGGATCAGAAGGCAGATTTCATCAATCTAATGTCAAAAAGTATTTATTATATTCTGGCTAAGGACGGATATTCATATTCTATGAGGCCACTGATATATGATGCTAAGTTCAAAGTTGATGAAGAGACAACACAAGCTATGGCTTGGATATCCTTCCCGGATCTGAAACCTACGTATTTTGTGAAGGAAGCGTTGTTCTCACTAGCAACTGCTGTTGGAAAACCTTTACAGTTAGACATGGCTACAATCAACAAGACTAGACCTAGTTGTGCAAGGGTTAAGGTGCAAGTAGACATTCTGGGTGAATTTCCAAAGTTTGTTGAAATGGAGATTATTAATGAGGCAACAAAGGAGTCTAGGCTCGAAAATGTCAAAATACAATATGATATGCTGCCAAAATATTGTAAACAATGCAAAGTGCAAGGACATGAGGATGAAGCATGCAGAAACCTACATCCAGAACTAAGGAATATCAATGTGACTAATGAAAAAGAGACTGATCAGGAGCAAAAAGGCAGTAGCAATGAAGAGCAGGGCAATGAAGTTGCATCAAAAAGAAGAAGAATAATTCGAAGATACTGGAAGCCAGTCAATATTAAAGAACCTCACAAGCATAGTTCTAATCAAGTAAAAGGGGATAAAGGCATAGTAATAGCTGGTATTAATATCAAAAATGCTTTTGACGCACTAACTGAAGGTAATGAAAAAGAGCAGCCTGAGGAATCTACTGGAAGGAATGACAATTTAAATGATCAAGCCAGTGAAGTCAAGGGCCAGGTTGATAAGGGACTCCATCTTTCTTCTACAAAGGAATGGATTACTAATGCATTTGCTAATTATCAAGAAAAAAGGGGTGAGAAAGCAAATAGTATCAATAGCACTTCGGAAACTGACAATGGTAATAAAATAATAACACTTCACAATGGAGAAATAAGGGATGAAGATCATCAGGGAGATCATCAACAGTGGATAGATGATGGAGAGAAAAGAGGGGGTGAGACACCTGCACAAAAGAGCCCACAAGTTAGCAACCTCAATCAACATAATCACAATGAGCCAAGTAATTTGGCTCTGGTGGAGATAACACAGGCAGATGAGGAAGAAAATGAGCCAACTAAGTTGGCACTGGTGGGGATAACACAGGCAGATGAGAAAGAAAGATTACTCATGAAGGAGTTAACAGAGGCTGAGTTTCAAACACCTCTTCAAATTGCAGATTCCACATGTGAAGAAAGATATTCAGCTGAATATGTGTTCCCTGATACAACAATAAATAAGAAGTCAGCAATAGCTATATGCAGTGCCAAATCTGCCCCTATGGAGACATTACATTCATTAATATCACACCAAAGTCAAGGAGATAAGGTGGTGGAGAGTAATGATACCAGTGTTGAATTCATAGAAGATAAAGATGAGGGAAACAGTGTCCAAAATGCAATTGAGGTATACAAAGAGGCTGGACTATCTCCTTTAGCCATATCTAAAAGCAAAAAAGGTAAAGCTAAAAAGGAGGTTAATGTTCAACCAATAAGAATACAAGCCAAGAGGGTGGTGAAGTCGTCAAGCAAATAATAATGAAAGCACTTTTTTGGAACATAAGGTCGGTGAGATCTCAAAATGCATTCCACAGAGTTCAGATGTTACACAGACATCACAAATTTTCCTTAATTGCTCTACTGGAACCATTTCAAGACACTAGGCATATACAAAAGTTCAAAAGGAGATTGGGGATGCAGTATGTGAATTATAATTTAAATGGGTAGATATGGATATTTGTGAAGGACCATATTCATGTTGGGGTGATTTCAGATACTGCTCAACAGATCACTCTCCAACTCACCTTGGAGAATGGAAAACAAATTATTACCTCTATGGTTTATGCCAAATGCTCTGCAGAGGAGAGGATAGAACTTTGGAATGATTTATATTTCATCAGTGATAATTATGCAGGACCATGGTTAATTGGGGGAGATTTCAATGTAATATTGGGAGAAGATGAAAAAATTGGGGGTCTTCCTGTATACATTCAAGAATATGAAGATTTTGCTTTCTGTGTTAATTCTTGTGAGCTGTTTGATATAAATTTCTCGGGTAGTCCTTTTACTTGGTGGAATGGGAGAGTTGATGAAACTTGTATTTTTAAAAGGCTAGACAGGGTGATGATTAATTCTGAGCTACAAGAACTCTTTGGCACAGTGGAACTTCAGTATTTAGCAAGGACTGGGTCTGACCATACACCTTTGTTACTAACATGTGGAGGTTTGTCTCAAAGTTTTAAAAAACCATTTAGGTTTTTAAAATTTTGGACTGACAGGGAAGATTTTAAGGATGCGGTAAAGGCTAGTTGGTGTGGAGACTATTCTGATGATGTGTTTTTACAATGGAAGTTGAAACTAAAGAAGACAAAACTAGCTCTGACTAAATGGAGTAGAGAGCAGTTTGGGGACATTTTCAAGCAGCTACTAATAAGAGAAGAAATTGTTAGGTTGAAGGAAGAACTATTTGAGCATAGTCCTACTATAGATAATAGAGTTGTGTTAAACCAAGCTCATGCTGAATATAAACTTTACCTACATTATGAGGAAGAGTTTTGGAGGCAAAAGGCAAGCATTCAGTGGTATTCAGAGGGGGATAAGAATACCAAATTTTTTCATGGCTTGGTAAGAGGTAGGAGGAGGAGATTGAATTTACAGAAAATTTTAAAGGCAGATGGACAATGGGCAGAAGGGAAAGATGCAGTTGCTGCTGAAGCTATAAGATTTTTCCAGAATCAGTTCTCTGGAAATGACTTGAACATAGATTATTCTCTACTACAAAATATTCAGCCGCTGGTGACTACAGAGGATAATGAATTGCTGAATATGACTCCTAATGAAACTGAGGTAAAAAAGGTGGTCTTTGAGCTAAATGAGGAAAGTGCTTGTGGCCCGGATGGTTTTACAGGTCATTTCTTTCAAGTATGTTGGGAGATTGTTGGGGCTGATATTCTGAGTATTGTTCAAGCTTTCTTTTTGGGGAATACTCTTCCCAAGTCAATTATGCATACTAATTTGGTTCTATTGCCTAAGAAGGAGAATATTCAGACTTTCTCAGACTTAAGACCTATTAGTCTCAGTAATTTCATAAACAAAGTGATTTCTAGGCTCATGCATGATAGACTGGAGGGCTTGCTACCAAGATTAATTTCTGTGAATCAATCTGGTTTTGTGAAGGGTAGAAGTATCTCTGAAAATATTTTATTGGCTCAGGAAATTATCACAGATATAAGGAAAAGGGGAAAACCAGCCAATGTTGTGATAAAGCTGGACATGGCTAAGGCGTATGATAGAGTGAATTGGAGCTTCTTAGTGAAAATTTTGGGACATATGGGATTTAACTCAGGGGTGGTTGATAAAATTTGGAGATTGATTGCTAACAACTGGTACTCTGTACTAATTAATGGGCAAACACATGGGTTCTTTCACTCAACTAGAGGGGTGAAGCAAGGGGATCCTCTATCCCCTGTTTTATTTATCATTACAGCAGAGATACTGTCAAGAGCACTAAATCAACTATTCCAGAACACTGAGTTTATAGGCTATGGGATGCCAAAGTGGAGTGAGAAACTAAATCATCTTGCTTATGCAGATGATACTATCATATTTGCTTCTGCAGAAAAGAAAACTATTGCACTGATAATGAATGTCTTGAAGGAGTATGAAAATCAGTCTGGACAGAAGATTAATAAGGATAAAAGTTACTTCTACATGTTCAGTAAAGCTAGCAATGCTCTTATAAGGGAAGTGGAGGAAGCTACAGGTTTTGTGAGAGGCCATTTTCCAATAACCTACTTAGGGTGCCCTATCAGTCATGCCAGGATGAAGAAAGTGCACTTTAATGATCTGATTAAGAAAGTTCAGAACAAGTTGCAAGTCTGGAAAGGTAAGCTTTTGTCTTTTGGTGGTAAGGTGGTATTGATCAAACATGTGTTACAAAGTATGCCTATATACTTGTTGTCAGTTCTTGTGCCACCAATATGTGTTATTAAGGACCTTCAGAGGATTTTTGCTAGATTCCTATGGAATTTCAAAGAAAATGGTAGGGCAAAGCACTGGATAGCTTGGGATGACACTTGCCTGCCTAAAGAAGAAGGGGGGATTGGCTTTAGATCCCTGTTTGATGTGTCCAAGGCTGTATTTGCAAAGCTTTGGTGGAACTTTAGAACTAAAGCTTCTCTATGGACTTTTTATATGTGGAACAAGTACTGCAAGAGGTTTAGACCTCAAGTGGTGGAATGGAATGGGGGATCTCAAGTTTGGAAGATGATGTTAATGGCTAGAGATAGTTTTGATCAAGAAATATGGTGGGAACCTAGATGTGGACATGCCAGCCTATGGCATGACAATTGGACACAACTTGGAGCCTTACAGTATATCATGCCTGTTGGTCATGTTCTGGATGGGAATTTTGAAGAAGTTAATCAACTTAGAATGGATGGAAAGTGGAATAATGACCTGATGACAGAGCTAATAGGTAAAAATATTTGTGATCATGTAATACATGTCATGGGTCACATTCAACAGACAGAAGATAGGGACAAGCAGTGGTGGATGCCTAGTAGTAAAGGATTGTTCACTGTAGGGAGTGCGTGGGAGATTATCAGAAGCAGAAAAGACCTTCAAAAGGATATTATGTTTATTTGGGAAAAGGGATTACCCTTCAAAATCTCATTTCTGATGTGGAGAATATGGTTTAAGAGGATTCCGATCGGAGAGGTCCTAGTTAAAAACAGGATAACTGATCAAATGGAATGTTGTTGTTGTGAAAATAACATTTCAGAATCTTTTAACCATTTATTTGTCCTATGTCCTGATGTCAATTATCTATGGAAGTTATTTGCTGGAGCTATTGGTATGCAGGGTCCATTTAATCAGATGAAACAAACCATATATAAGTGGTGGGATGAAGATTGTGCACCTAAGTTGAGACCTTTGTGCAGGGCAATACCAAGCTTCATCATTTGGCAAGTGTGGAAAAGAAGAAATATGATTTTACATAGGGGAAATATGACTATACATGCCATGGTTTTGGAGATTAATAGAAATATTCATCTAATGGCAAAAACAATATATCCTTGGTTAGCAGAAATGCCTAGCAGTTGGCCAGCCATTGTACAATTTCTGGAGAGTTACATGCCATTAATTCATACCACAGTGGTAAGGTGGAAGTGTCCTAAAAGGGATAGTTACAAATGCAATTCAGATGGTGGACTTGAGTCAAAGGCATTTTGCATTAGAGATGGGCATGGAGATTTGGTATATGCTGAAGCATGGAAAATTGATTATTATTCTGCATTGGAGGCTGAAGTGAAAGGCTTTAAAAGGGGTCTGTTGTACTGCTTGAGTCATAATCTCATCCCTCTGATAATGGAAACAGATTCGTTAATCATTAAGAAGATTTTGGATGGAATTTGGGAAGTGCCCTGGGCTATCTCGGTAGACATTAGAGAGGCAATGGAGAACAAGGATGTGACTGTATTGCATACATTCAGAGAAGGGAATAAGCTTGCAGATTATTTAACTAACATGGTTGTTAATTTTGCAGGTACAAATTCCATTCATTTTAACCACAATAATGAACTACCAACACAAGCAAAATCGATTCTACAGTTGGATAAGCAGGGAACCCCAAATATAAGAATCAAGAAGGGTAAAAACAAGTTGTGTAGATCATTATGATAAAGCGAGTTCAAGACAGAAGATTCAATCACAGTTCAGCTGTACAGAGATAATATCATTTCTCAAAGTTTGATGGTTACCTTGACATAGGGGTGGGTACTGATCTTTAACATGAATTGAGGCAGTGGTATTAGCTCTATGGAGCTCAATCTGCACAAGTCATGGAAAAATCAGCACAAACCTCAGAATGAGTTTTTCATGAAGTAGGTGGTACGTGAAGGGTCATACCTGGATTTGTTGAGATTGAGGACAAGCTGGGAGCTAAAGAAGTCTTCATCATAGCATTGGTGAGACTTGGTAAATGCTGACTGAAATTCACCCAAGGTCGCAGCTGTTGCCTTTGTCCAATCGATCTGGGAATGGAGACTGGAGCTCACAAGGACACAAGGAGTGCGAGCCAAAGCAATAATCACACACTCCTAATATTCGCGTACAGAAGATTCAAAACAAGGATTACAAGGGCCACAACAACAGAGAGTAGTCATCACAAGCCATCTCAATACATCACAACATTGATATCAAAGGAGAAACATAGTAATACAG